ATTTCCGATAATTCTTGAAAAAAGAAGGAAACGGACCCAAACTCACTTTTGGGTCCATTTCCGTGTTGAGGCGTTTCCGTGTTGAGGCGTTTCCATAGCACCCCTCGATCGTACAAATTGTATACATACTCTGTCGTATAGGTCCGATGTTGCGTAGGTCCGAAATATCGAAGGATGGAAGTGCTGTAGGACTAGGGGAGGAAGGCAAACCACATCAATCTCTAGTCCGAACCACATTCTCATCATTTTCTCGTCCGAACCACATCGAAATCCTCATCCTTTCAATATTATTTTTTTTAAGTGTCCGATTCTTGAAAATAAATACATTTAAAAAAAATGGAGACGTTATAGGGCATAAAACATGACTAGAATAAAGTTTTCCAAGGATTTTGAGATGTTGGAATCTTCAAATCCACGAGAATGATGTCAAACATTATTTAGGTTAAAAATTGAAACTCTTCTGCCTCCATTAAAATGGATAACTTTCACAAATAAAAATTTATACCAAAGAATTCGTGTGAACATGGTCTTTAATCTTTCCATTTCAACCCATACAAAATAATCATTGATTTCTGATTTATTTACAAATAAGGTAGATTTGTTGTCCCCACTGAGAGATCACTTCTGCCTGCTGCATGCTTAAAATTATAGAAAAAAATAATGTTCAATTTATATTATTCAAATCATTTGCTACAAATAATTGGGCACAACCCTAGGAATTCAAACAGTATTTAATCATATAAATATTGTAAGTCATATCTCTAACCCTAATTCAGCTTGAATATTACAAAAAGTTGTTTACATCGAGTTTGAGAATGTTTTGCGGCATTTTCCGCTAAAGAAAGGGCTCTTAAACAGACGCTTTTTTGTAGAACATCGTTTATTGAGCATTTTCATTTTTACACAAATCTAAAATTTAATTGGGAAAATTTGATTTTTCATCTATGCCCTAACGTCGACATATCTTTAAAAAATGTATTTATTTTTAAGGATCGGACACTTAAAAAAAATAATATTGAAAGGACGAGGATTTCGATGTGGTTCGGACGAGAAAATGATGAGAATGTGGTTCGGACTAGAGATTGATGTGGTTGGCCTTCCTTCCCTCGTAGGACAGAAGTAACATTACCAAAGAATGTTCTAGATGATTAATACGATATTTAACAATGTCGGCTTGACTTTTTTAAAAATGCAAAGTTTGTCGCAGCTTAAAGTTTGCGTCAGCCAGGCGGAACGGGTCAAATTCTGTTCAGCCAACCCCAGGACGAGTCAGTACAAATTTGTGGTGAGACAGGCGAGCTGGTTAAAATATCAGGCCACCTGGCCCCAGATGCGACGGAACAGTTTAAAATTATTACCCAGCCAGAGGGTGAAGGCTCGGCGAAACGGTACAAAATTATCGATCAGCTGGATATGGTCCCATGAAAGCTGGACAGCTGTTACCCGCATTTGCTGTTCTCTCTCTCTTAGCTCTCGAGTCTGACTCTTCTGAACAAAAGTTCAGTAATCAGTTCAGTCAGTCAGTTACTGTTTTTTCGTCTAGCTCGTAAGTGTGCGTGGAGTGAGATGTAGAATTAATGTAGGTAGTAGTTACTGTGTGTGATATGTTAAACCGCCGCCGGCTATAATAGTAGCGTTACAGTTTCCTTGAAGCCGGTTAAATCGCCACACATGTCGTCATTCTATTACGTTACATTTTAAACAATTTTAAGAATTGTGAAATTGAATTGCAAAGGTCTAAAACAGGCTCTGGGGTCTGTCCTAGTATACGATTTTTGGACCCCCCACAGGCCCACCCCTCCTATAAATTTTGTACATACCGTTTATTTTTCAGCAAATTTATTATTATTTATTTTTTTGTTATTTAGGGTTAGGTTAGGTTAAGAAACTTTCTGGGCCGAGCGCTGCGGCTAGGATGGGCTAGGGGGCCGAGCGCTGCGGCCACGGGTTAGGTTAAGTTAAGAAACTTCCTGTCACA